AACCCCTTGGAGCAGGTTATGCAGAGACGTGCAAAGAGCAGCCGAAAGCCGTCAGCGTTAGGTTCGCGGCTCCGATCGGCGCCCCCAGCCGAGTGGGTCGTCTTGCGTCGGTGGCCGCACGCTCGAGATTCGCAAGAAGTCAGCGAGTGCTCCCCAGGTAGACTGAATTGGAACCCCAAGCCAGTTCCTGAAAATCAAGGTTCATGCTACAGAATCCTGCACCGTTACTACGGAATTGTGAGAGGTTCAGGAATTGCCCCGTTTTTGTTCAGAAGTAAAAATGCAATTGCAAAATTGTACTGGAGTTATAGAAATGAAATAGTCCTTGAAGAAGTGCAGCTGGGAGGGGACGCGACAGAATATAGGGTGCTAGGTTTGGCCTTGAAACTACAAGCCGGTGCAGAGAAGGGCGCGGGTCCTCACTAGGTAGTGACGTTCCGGAGGCTGTGGAGGGTGGTGAGGGCAAGAGCCACCTGCGCATCGAATTCTGTCTCGGCAGCGCTGGGGCGGCGGGCAGGTTTCCTAACATCTGCGCGGCGCACTGTGGCTGCGGTACAGGCGGGTGGAAGTAGCTGACGGCGTGTGCTAGGGCAGGGCGTTGCGTGAGCGTCGGTGCCCAGAAGCTAGGGACCTAGAGCTACCTATTCTGTAAGGAATGCCTTCGTTTGCTAGCCTTCAAACCCGCGAGAACGATCTTAGAGTTTGTTAAATCCGGTAACTCGGAGAAGATCAAGACAGCGTGTGGCTTGAAGGGTTGTGAATGGAAACTTTTGCCATTTGCAGGACCCTTCGATACGTTCCGGAGGAATCCAAGGACAAGGTTATCTCAGATGAAGACGTCCTGGGAACGTTGCTCCAAGTTTTCCAGGCTTTGTTCTTAAATGATCTCAGTAAACAATCAGATATCTGGACTTTACTTCCAGAACCTGTGAAGGCAAAATATCGAGACCTGCTGGCACTTCAGCATCAAAGGGTGAATCTGCTTGGAATCAGACATCGACAGCAAAATGCTTTTAAACCAGAAGAAATTCTTTATAAGACACTGGGTTTCAGTGTTGCCCGCGCAACTAGCTCATTGATTTCTGCGGGAAGAGGTGTCTTTGTTACTAAGGGATTGGTACCGAAAGGCGCAGTTGTATCTATGTATCCGGGTAACAGCACAAATTAGTACTTGCAAGAGTTTTTTGTATACTGGTAATACCTAGCCCTGTAATCCTTAACGAATTGAACTAGAAATTGAGGTTTCTAAACTTTTGATTTTGTTAATTAAATGCTTATAAATTATGGTGTGCATTAGAAAGATACCCTGGAGTATCTGTTGGGATAAGTGTGTGTGTGTGTGTGTGTGTGTGTGTGTGTTTATGGAAATCTTTTCTTGAATCATTGTTTAAATTTAGAAAACAATGTAGCTCCCTTTAGCAGGTTTCTTAAGCATTAGAGAATAAATCAGTTTAGCTTCAGTGATAACTAGAGATTAAAAAGATGTGAGTTAGGGCTGGGAAGATGGCTCAGTGGAATAAGTGCTTCTCTGGCAAGCGCAAGGGCCTGAGTTCAATCCCCGGTTCTAGAAAAAAAAAAAAAGATGTGAGTTAAAACATGAAACCATTTAAACCCCTAAATAATTTAATAGAGACCTTCCTGCTTTTTCTGCACTGGGGACATAAAGCAGCTCCTTTGCCAAAACCCACTGGCTTGAATGTTCATTAGAATATGTCTGTTGTTTGTTATACTATCCTTATGTTATTTGGTAGTGGAAAGTACATGCATACATTCGTGTGCGCGCGCGCGCGCGTGTGTGTGTGTGAATGTTTGTGTTAGATAGACATATGTCATTCTGTTATTTTGTGACCCTTACGAAATGTAAAACTTTTGTACAACTAACTTAACTCTGAAGATTCAGTAAAACAAGCCAAAAATCAAAATAACCCTAAAATAAATTCAGAAAATAGATTAACACGGCTGACAAATTGGAAGCATCTTGTAAATGTAATTGCTTCCTCTGTGAGTAAAAGCAAACACAGCTCGAGTGGCAGGTTCTTCCCAGATACGTCTGCACTGTTTATTAACAAAATGCATTTTGTAGGACTCTTCACGGATGTCGTTTCACATTTAAACAGTATTTGTGTTGTAAAAATGAACTTAAAATATGATGTTCACAGTATCACAAAGCAAAAATTGGCATTTTTTTTCCCCTCCTGTGTGGATAGTTGGTTCTGTGTTCCACTGCTATGGGGCACAGACTCTTTAAAGCAGAAAAGTAACCTAAGGGCCTGTGATACAGCTCAGTGGACTAAGCACCTGTTTAGGCAAGCGCAGGGACCAGGGTTTGAATCCCTGGGCACGACATGCTGTGCTGGCCCCGCCTCCAGGCTCACCGAGCTGGCCACCGAGACCAGGCGTGGTGGTGCACACCTCTAATCCCACCGCTGGGGAGGCTAAGACAGAAGGATCACTAGTAATCCTAGCTTCATAATGACACCCTGTACCAAATACATAAAGAAAAGTAACCTAAGAGAATATGATTTCCAGATTGGAGGTAAAATACTTTAAAAGGAATGGAGGAATTAAAACATATTCTTCCATTACATATTCATGTTCCAGAGAAAGATATTTATTTAGATTTATTTTTTCAACACCGGGGATTAAACCAAGAACTTTCACTTTTTTTGTTTTTTAATTTTTGACACAGGGACGCGCTCTGTGAGTTGCTCTGGCTGAGTTCAAATTTAGATCCTCTGTTTCAACCTTGTAGAGTGCTGGGATTATAGGTGTGCACCACCACATTGGGATTGGAGTTTTAAGATCTTCATATGTGCTACAATATGCCTTTGTTTTATTGTATAATAGGTACAATATATCAGAAGTATGAGCCGATCTTTTTCCAGTCCATTGGAAACCCATTTATTTTTAGATGCTTGGATGGAACACTCATTGATGGAAATGACAAAGGCATATCAAAAGTTGTGTATAGGTAAGTGATGCCCATATCCAAATGTAATTATAGAACATAGAACTACACTTGTGTCTGTTAGGTGGCTTCTAGCTGACAGCTGAGCTGTCTGAATCATTACACAAAAAATTTTTGAAAGAGAAAGCATATTAATTTAATTATAGTTTTGTTTTTGGTTTTTTTGTATTTTAAGATTCAAAACAGTCCCTTAGCTAATACTTTTACCTGTTTCAGATCTTGTAGTGGAAGAGATCGGCTTGGCCCCTTAAAAATGAATGATATTACGTGGCTAACCTCAGAAACTCAGAATCCACTGGCTATAGGACAGTATGTTAACAATTGTTCAAATGGTAAGTTGGGCTGGGCATGGTGGCACATGCCTGTATTCCCAGAACTCGAGAGGCTGAGGTAGGAGGATTTTTGGAAACAAAACAAGAGGGGTGTGAGAGGAGGTACCGTAAGGGTTGATTTCCCTTCACCATGTAACTACCTGAGGCTGTTGAGTAACATCTCAGTTACTCAAAGACCTTGACCGACTAACTTTTCCAGGAATTGTATCAGAAGAATTCAAGAAAATAATAGTGGATATCCTTTGGAAAATTTTAGTTTACCATTTTTGTTCTAAATTTGTAACAAGTATAGACATTTGGCAATAAGCACCCTTTGGTCATTATTATTTTAGCATTTTTATTTTTTTTTTAATTTTATTTATTTATTTAGGGGTGTGTGTGTGTGTGTGTGTGTGTGTATGTGGCCAGCTCAGCCCACCAGGGGGCGGGGCAGGCTGGCATGTGGTGCTGGGGGATTGAACCGCGGTCCTGTGCTTTGCTAAGCTTGTTCCAAGTAGGTGCTTTAGACCACTGAGCCATCTCACCAGCCCCTATTTTAGCATTTTTAATGAAGATTATTTTATCAGTGTCGTGAAATACCCTTACCCTAGGTTAATCACTAGCCTAATGCAGCCTTTTTGTTGCTAAGTTTGTGAGTCACACACTTCTTTTGAGACTCGATTTTTCTGTACGTAGAAGTTTGATTATTTGACTACAGTTGTCATGTAGCCTTTGATGTTAGAGAGATAGGAACATCTTAGAGGTGAATTTTTAAAGCCCTGAGTCCTTTATTTAACTGTTAACCATTTTGAATTTCTATTTCCTGATATATAAAAAATAAACCAGAGGGCTGGAGAGATAGCTCGGTGGTACAAGCACCTGCCTGGCAAGCACAAGGACCTGATTTGATCCCCAGTACTACAAGCTGTGCTGGCTTCAAAACTGGATGTGGTGGTGCATGCCTGTAATCCTACCAGTGGGGAGGCTAAGACAGGCGGATCACTATAAGTCTGAACTGCTTGGCGAGATCCTATATCAAATTAATTGATTAACTAAAGAAAGAAACCATAAACCATTATATATGTTTGTTATGCATTTTCATATATGTAAAGACAGATACTCTTTATCTTTGGATGTTATTTTATATATAGTATATTTTTTATCATAGAGATAAGTATGAATGTAGGTGTATAAAATCTAATACTGTCTGGAATGTAATACTAGTTATTTGGGCATGTTCAGTTTAGAAATTTAATTTAGTAAAACATACATCAAGTGTTATAATTCAGTACTTGTTTTCCATGCCGTCTTTCTAAAAAGTATGTCCTTGTTCCTAGAGAGAGCAGCTAATGTCTGTTACCAGGAATTTGAAGTGCCTGCAGGGTTCCCTGTAGAACTGAAGCAGTATTTTCCAAACATTGCCTACAGCTCTGAGAAACAAAGGTTAGTTTTCTGAAAGAACGTTTTATGTCTTCTATCTTAAGCTGTACTTTAAAAAGTACTTTTTCTGGGGCCAGTGAGATAGCTCAGTGGACTAAAACACCTGCTTAGGCAAGCTCAGGCAAGCGCTGGGACCATGGTTCCATCTGTGACACCATGTGTTGCACCAGCTCCGTCCCTAGGGCAGGCTGAGCTGGCCAGAGTCCCTGCGTAGTAGTGGTGCATGCCTGTAATCCCAGCTCTGAGGAGGCTGAAAACAGGAGGATCAACATGAATCCAAGCAGCACAGTGAGACCCTGCAGCATCCAAATACATCTAAAAAAAAGAAAGAAAGAAGGAAAGAAAGAAAAAGAAAGAAAGAAAATTCTAAGGAAAAACTATATAGGGATTTTATCAAGATCCAGAATTATAATCTTTTGCTCTTGTTACCTACGATTACTTTTGCTATGCTAGGTTTCCATGTGAATTTGAGGCTTTCTCTATTCTGTGAAGAACACTTGGTATTTTCATTCGAATTAATACATCTATAAGTCAGTTTATGGCCATTTTAACAATACGGGTTTTGACAGTGTTGGTTCGAGAACAAGGGTGTCTTCTCCTTTTTTGATGTCCCCTTTTTCAGAGTACTGTAGTTTTTTGTTTTTTGGGGGTTTTTTTAGAGCTCTATCACCTCTTAGGTTAAATTAATAAATATTTAGGTTTTTTGAAGCTATTGTGAATGGTATTTTTTTGTTTGTTGGTTTTAGGTGTTTTTTTTTTTTTGGCAGAACTGGGGATTGAACTCAGGCACTTGGGGTTGCCAGACAAGTGCTTATTCTGCGGTGCTATCTCTCCGCCCCCTGGTATTGTTTTCTTGATTTACTTCTCAGTGTCTTCATTATTGGTGTGCAGGAATACTGTGGATTCTTGTGTGTCTCCTGCTACTTAGCTGAATTTGTTTATTCTTTCTGGGGGTCTTGTGGTTGAATTTTTTTGGGTCTTCTAAATCATATTATCTGCAAATATAGTTTGAATTCTTCCTTTCCAATGTATGTTTTTCTTATTTCTTCTTCTGCTTCTTTTTTTAAATATGATTTACTTAGTGACTTTATTTTTGCAGTACTGGGGATTGAACTCAGGACCTTGTGCTTGCCAGGCAGGAGCTTATGCTGCTGAGCTATATCCCCGGCCCCTATGGTTCCTATTTTTTCTTTTGACTGACAACTGTGCCTAAACTTTCAGATACTATATTGAACAAGAATGGTGGCTAACATTGTCTTAGTCATGATTTTAGAGAAGTTTAGTATGATAGCAGCAGTGGACTTTGTAAATAGATTTGATCAGTTTGACATAAGATCCTTTTCAAGTTTTTTTTTTTTTTTTTTACTCCTAAGTAGATATTAGATTTTGTCAAAGATTTTTTCTACACCTATTGAGGTCATCAGGTGGTTTTTGCCCTTGCGTCTGCTTATATAATGTGTTACACTTACTAATTTGTATGAACCATATGTTCATGCTGAGGATGAAGCCTACTCGCCCATAAGGTGGGATCTTTTTGATGATTTGTTGTATTCTGTTTCTGATACCTTTTTTTCCCCTCTATTTAGGACAGGGTCTACAGGGTCTAACTATGTAGATTGGGCTCGTAGTGATTCTCCTGTTTTCAGCCTCCCAAGTGCTGGGATTACAGGCACGCGCCACCACGCCCAGTCTCAGTCATGATCTCAGCGCGTCCCAGGGGTGGGCCCAGCGTGGCACACTGGGGATTGAACCCTGGCTGCTGCGCTGTGCCTCAGCAGGTGCTTTAGTCCGCTAAGCTATCAGGCCGACCCTTGCCAACATCTTATTCAGGATCTTTTATTTGTTTATTGAAGAGATGGCCCTGCAGGTTTTTCTTTTCATTCCTTATCTGGTTTTGGTATCAGGGCAATTTTAGTGTCCAAGAATGAGTTCGGGAGTACTCTTTCTTTTCTAATTGTATTGAAGAATTTGAGGATTATTGGCATTAGATCCTTTCTCAAGTTCTTGTAGAATTCAATGAATCCATTGGGTTCTGGGCTATTCTTAGTTGGTAGATTTTTATTATTATTATTAGTACTACTACTACTACTACTACTACTACTACTACTACTACAACTACCACTAATTTCATTCCCTGTTACTGGACTCTTAAGTAGTTTTGTATCTTCTTGGTTCCTTTTTGGTAATTTATATGCCTCTAGAAGTCTATCCATTTCTTCTAGTATCTCCAGTTTATTGGCATTCAGGTTTTTGAAATAGTTACTGCAATGCTCTGGACTTTTGGAGTGTTCTTTGCAATTGTGTCTTTTTCATTTCTTTTTTCTTCTTTTTTTTTTTTTTTTGCAGAACCGGGGATTGAACTCAGGTCCTTGCGCTGCCAGGGAAGCACTTATTCCACTGAGCCATCTCCCCAGCCCAAATCTTAGCAGTAATAGTGAATCAAGTTGGTTTTATTACCTTTTTTTGTGGTACTGGGGGTTGAACTCAGGACCTTGTGCTTGCCAGGCAAGCACTTATTCTCCTGAGCCATCTTCCCAGCCCTTTCATTTCTAATTGCATTGGTGTAAGTCTTAGCTTTCCCTCTTGCTAAGTTGGGCTGTTTGTGTCTATTTTATCTCTTCAGGAACCAGTTTGTCAGTTCATTAATTATTGTTTCTTTAGTCTGAATTTCATTAATTTTCTCTCTGATTTTTAAAACACTCTCTCGTACTAGCTTTGGGGTTGGATTGTTCTTATTTTTCTAAGGCCTTAGCGTGCATCATTAGATTATTTGGGATTGCTTTGTTTTTCTGATGTGGGCATTCACAGCTGTACGCTTCCCTCTTAGAACCACTTGCACTGAGTTTCATGGGTTCTTGTACATTGTGCTGGCATTATTTATCATTTGATTCTAGGAACTGTTTGATTTTTTTAATTCCTTTTGTGACCCACTGTTTATTCAAGAGTGTATTATTTATTCTCCTTGTGTTTATATGATTTCTGTGGTTTCTCTTGCCATTAATTTCTAGTTTCATTGTAGTATGATCTGACAATATGCATGGAGTAATTTCTATCCTGTTGTATTTATTTAAGCAAGCTTTATGGCTTAGTATTAGGTCGATTGTCTACAGAGTTCTGTGTGCTACTGAGAAAAATGGGTATCCTTCATTGTTGGGTTGAATACTTTTTTTTTGTTTTTGTATTTAGGACAGGGTATACAGGGTGTATAGGGTCTCACTGCATAGATCGGACTCAGTGATTCTCCTGTTTACAGCCTCCCAAGTGCTGGGATTACAGTCACGTACCACCATGCCCAGTCTCAATTGCCCTCTCAGCATGCCCCAGGGGCGGGGCCAGCATGGCAGGTCCAGAGCGGGAACTCCCGGCCCCCGCATCTGCCTAAGCAGGTGCTCTTTCATCTGCTGAGTTATGTGGCCAGTCCTGAATACTCTTGAGATATTTATTAAGTCCATTTGTTCAACTCCGATATTTCTTTGTTGATTTTTTTGTCTAGTTGATCTATTTGTGAAAGTGGGGAATTGAGGTCCCCCTACTGTACTTGTGTTTTTATGTCATCTTTCGTGTACAGTAGTATTTGTTTTCTGAAGTTGAGTGTTGGGTGCCCTGGTATTTGGTGCTTAGGTATTTATAATTGTTATCTCTTCCTATTGAGTCGTTCCCTTTGTCTTCTTTGTCTGATAGTTTTGGCTTCAAGTGTACTTTGTCTGAAAATAGGATAAGTACTGTTGCCTGCTTATGGGCTCTAGTGGTATAATTGGTGTTTTTCATTTTCAGTTTTTAATCTGTGGACCTATTAAAAGATAAATATGTTACTTGTATACAGTATAGCATTTTGTTCTGTTCTGTTTTGTTAAGAGTCTCCCTGTGTAGTCTAGGCTGGCCTTGAACTGATGGCAACCTTCCTGCCTCAGCCTCCCAAGTACTGGGGTTACAGCATGTGCAACCATACCTGGTGAGTTTTGGTGTTTTTCTTTAATCTGCCTTTCTGTGTCTTTTGATTTATGAGTTGAGTTCATTCATGTTGAAAGTTATTGTTGAAAGGAATTGACTGAGTCCTCTTCACCGTGTTGTGTTTCTGTTGCTGATTCCTTTGTTTTTCCTTTTGCTTGACTGCTCATCCTGCTGTATTTATCCCAAAAGGTTCTCTGGCACTGATGTCTTTGTTGTCTCATTCTGGGAGGTCCTGAAGTATTTATTGTAGTACTCATTATCTAGAATTTCTTAAGGTGTTCTTTGTTGTGGAAGATCCTAATGTTTCCATTAATTCTGAAGAATATTTTTTCAGGGTATTTTAGTCTGGGTTGAAAGTTGTTTCATCTAGGGTTTGAAGAACTTCACTTTAAGCTCTTTGGGCCTTTCGACTTTGTTTTAGGAAATTTGTAGTAATTCTAATAATTTTACCTCCATAAGTAATTTGTTGTTTTTCTCTTGACAGCTTTTGAAATTCTGTCTTTGTGTTGAACTTCTGGGTTTTTTCTGATTAGTCATAGAGAAGCTCTTTTCTGATCGTGACTATTTGGAGTTCTACGTGCACTGCTTACTTGTGTGTTGAATTACCCTTATTGGAAAGTTTCCTGCCATAATTTCTTTTCTTTTTTCTTTTTTGGCAGAACCAGCATAATTTATGTGAACAGATTTTTTTTTATGCCATTCGTACCATCTTCTAATTTTTCTGTAGTTGTAGTTATTCCTAAATTAGTTCTTTGGGTCAGAACTAAGAAGTTCTTGGTTCTTGAAATTGCTGGATTATTGTTGATGGTCTTTTATTTTTTAAGCTCTCTTTGGGAGCACAGTTACTTGTATTAGTCCTGTCTTTTAGTTTTGGCATGTTTTCCTCACACAGGTCACTTCTGCCAGCCATACTTTCAACAGAATTTTTATCTCTTGGACTTGTGTTTGGTACTCCTTCTTGGCTTCTAATTCTTTCCTGATCTCATCATTTTGATTAGTTCAGCTCTCTTTTTATTTGTGCCTCCTTTATACTCTGTCCGTTTGTTAATTAAGTCCATTATCTCAGTTCATTCCATCATCTTGGGCGCTCCAACCCCAGTACTGATCCTTTTGTTCGTTTCCTTTCTCACTGCCTACCATTCAGACATTGTGGTTTTTGGTTTTTCTCCCCACTCATGTCCATTAGATTAGTTTCATTGGGAGTTAATTTTTAGATGTATTTTTTCCTTGTTTTCTCACATTTCTATTGTGTTTTGTTTTGTTTGTGCTGAGGTTGATTATTCATTCAAATGGAAGTACTTTGTTACTAGTATAAAGATCCTTGTAGTTAGTATCTGCTTGTCAGTGATGTGGTCTTGGCTTTAGCTATGCTTTGCCATTATCTACTTTTTCTTTTCTTTCCTTTTTTTAAATATTTATTTATTTTTGCCGAACCAGGGATTGAACTCCGGCCCTTGTGCTTGCCAGGCAAGCACTTTATTCTACTGAGCCGTCTCCCCAGCCTCTCTACTTTTCCACAGTTTAATAGGCTCAGACCTGGGGGCAGCGTTGCTGGGAGAGAAGCCTTACTGATTAGATCAGTGTCAGCAGATCCTGATTATATCAGCCACTCACTTACACTGCTTATATCAGGGTCATACATGTCAACATGTATGTGGAAACTTGTTTTTAACAATTTTCCCTTCTTATCAATTCCCCACACAGACTGTCATGTACTGCTACTACCAGACTGGCATGTGGTGGAGGAGGGGAAAGAAAAAAGCAGAGAAAAGGGACAAGGGAAATCAAGAGGAGAAGAGAAGTATCCATGGATGAGAAACAGGAGTTTAAACTCTTGGAATTATTTTTGTAGCTGTAGTAAAGGACTGTCTTTGAGGGGCTTGAGGCACTATTTGTGGCTGGTAGAGAAGGGACGCAAAAAGGGGAAGTATTTATAATAGATTTAGAGGCGCTCTGAGAATATTGGAACCTTAGCATGTTGACATCCCGTGTTTGGGTCCTCTGTACAGTTTTGCTACAAGTTACCCTGATTTCCCCGTGGAATGTGCTACAAGTGTCCCTCTCTCTAGAGACTGCCAAAACATGGATGCACACTTCAAGCAAAGAAAAACTTGTATAACACACCAGACATTGACTTCTGATGAATAGACTGCCTCGCCCACATGCACATTAGGATTTTCATGATATCTCAATACAGTTAGTGCATATATATGAACATGACAGAGAGATGAAAAAGAGAAAAAGAAACAAAAACATCAAAATCCTTATGCAATGGCGAAGACGCAAAATCATAGCATCTCGCAGCTCCATTTTGATGGCAAGCTAGTGAGCTCTTCTCCCCCCTCCCCCCGTTCACACATAGAAAAGCTTTGATGAGGGGACTGGATCAATTTCTTTCTTTTTTTTTTTAATATATATATTTTTTTAATTTTATTTATTTATTTGTGTGTGTGGCCAGCTCGCCCAACAAGGGGGGGGGCTGGCTGGCATGTGGTGCTGGGGGATTGAACAATGATCCTTTGTTTTTGCTAAGCTTGTTCCAAGTAGGTGCTTTAGACCACTGAGCCATCTCACCAGCCCTGGATCAATTTCAAAGTTTGGCTCTTTCCTGCTCCTCTCTGTGTGTCTTAATCAGGTGGGTGCCTGTGACCTCAGGTCTCCAAGCCAGGCGCCCCAGGTCCCCGCCGTGGGCGAGGAGCCTTGCTGATAGCGGCTGAGTCATCTCCCCGCTGGGATCGCCCTGAGCCTGCCTGAGCGCAGGCCTCTGCCTCTGTCCCGAGGTCTGAGCCACTCAGTTACTTCGAGAAGGGGAGACCCGGCACCCTGTCCTGCCAGAGCCCTGTCTCTCTGCCTGCCCCATGCGCTGTGCCTCTTCTGCCCAGTCGCGCTGCTGGACTCCCTTCTCTGCATTCAGCCGCTCCTGCAGGTGGTGACAGGACTGCCAGGGTGGCACCTAACAGTGGCCCTTTGGCAATGATTAGGATGCCCTGAGGACACAGCACTTCTCCTGTTCTGCGGGAGAACCGCAGGGCCTGTTCCGGCCAATCTGATCCCTTCCGTCCCCAGGACTGAACTGTCACCAGACCCTGCCTGCTCACGTCGCCCCCTGACCCTGGTTTTCTCAGTGCTCTCGATCCTGTCAGAGCCATGCGGTTATTTTCAGCTTTCCCAGGAGCCTGCTGGTGCTTTCTCGCTCACGGCTCACCGGCTCTCTGATGCTGGGGATTGCATCACCAGCCGAGTTCCTATTCTTGGTGGACAGGCTAGGAGCCAGCTCAGTGACTTGCTTGCTGTGGTACCAGGTCCTCTCCTAGGGAAGTGCATAGGCTGGCCCTGGGGTGTAAGGTGCGCAGTGGTCAGGGTGGACTGCCTCCCCCGCCCCTGGGCTTGCGGCAAGTGGGTTTCTCCTTCCGTGTGCTTTCCCCACATCTGACTTTCTGTATCGCCAGTGGCTCAGCGTACGTGACTTCCTCCTGCACACAGCTTGGAGCCACCATGACTGCTGCCACCTAATCAGCCATGACTGTGGAACTTTGCTAATTGTTCTAACAGTGCTGTAGGAAGATGTAGTAGTCTTTTTTTTTTTTTTTTTCAATTTATGTATTTGGTACAGGGTCTCACTACACAGCTCGGACTTGTGGTGATCCTGTTTTCAGCCTCCCCAGTGCGGGGATTACAGGCATGTGCCACCGCTTAGCGAGCCTTGTGGGTGGGGCTGGCGAGGCTTGCAGGACCGGAAATTGAACCCTGGTCCCTGCGCTTGCCAAAGCAGGCGCCTAATCCACTGAGCTATCTCGCCAGCCCAAGATGTAGTCTTTATTTCTATCGTTCAGTGAGTTGATAGCAGTTAGATTTCCTTAGCCCTTCGGGACATAATGCTGTTACAGCTTGAAAGGTATATGCAAGTGTCTTGTGTCCCCCAGTAAGAGTATTTTTTAAAATTCCAATTAATTTTAAGTAACGTTTTTCTTTCACACTATGAAATACAAATAAAAAATGTTAAACCGTAACCTCTTTAAAAGGATTAAGATGATTCCAACACAGAAATAATGTTGTCAAGAAACAAAAAAAAACGAAGTGTTTTCAGGAGAGGTGGTTGGGTACATAAATGCACAGATTTGTGATCTATTTTAAGTGACAAAGACCAGATATACTTGATACTACTGGACCTATACTGGGAAGATTAACTGTTTCCTCCTGGAAATTGAAGATATATACTAGAATATAAGGACTCTTAAGTAGTAAGTTACGTCTCTAAACTGCGTGTTGGTTATATTAAAAATGTGAGCTTGTATTTTTTTTTTTTGGCAGAATTGGGGATTGAACTCAGGCCGTTGAGCTTGCCTGCTGGCTATCTGCTGAGCTATCTCCCCGGCCCCATGAGCTTATATTTGCCACTATGCCATTTTTCTGTTTCAGCCCACTTCGGTGTGTTGTTCTTGTTGCACTGAGGGACATCAAGCAAGGCGAAGAGCTCTTTTCAAACTACTACACGGTTGTCAGCTAACCTGGTGAATTAGAAATTAGGTCCTCTACTTAGCGTATTTCATTAATCATTCTGAGTTCCCCCTGTAGAATAATTTGGAGCTTAGTTGAAATAATATTTTTTTTAATATTATAGTTACGTTCCAATTTCATGGTAAAAGCGACTTGCTTCATCAGTTTTAAAATTTATAATGCAAATGCAACATAATTGATTTTCACCTACACCTAGAGAAATGCTGATTAAAAGTACTTGAACTATAATTTCAGTGTTTTATTTTGTATACCTGTGACTTCTAAAAGTTTAGTCCAGACCAGCAATCTTTATGTTGATGTGTATCAATTTCTGTAAAAGTGTTTATTTTTATAGAATAAAAAAACACCTAGTGTTGTCCTGAATAAATTCGTGTTTATATATAACCTAAAGATTGTTCCATCTGAGTGAAGCCAAGACATGTCTTTGCTTTACTCGCTAAACATCCCCACCCCCACCCCATGCCAAAAAAGTTTTAGAAACTAAGAAATCGTTTTAGTGCGGGCATGGAATCAGAAGTTGGTGTTGGTGGGTCCGTTTCGTGGGGAGCCTCTCCATGTGCTGAAGTGACTCGGGTGGACTGGCGGCTCATTGCCCACATCCATCTAGTTCTTCCTCTGCAGCCCTTAGCAGCAGAAATTGAAGGCGCCCGGGTTGTGCAGGGGAAGCTTGCGGCCTGCCCAGCCCCGCGGTGGAGCTCTAAGGACTCCCCCCGGAGTTGGATTAGTAACAGTTCCTTTCACCCTGCTCCACCTGACTTGTTCCACCTCTCAGTTCCAAACATGAGTAAGGACGGTGGTGTGGGGCCCCCGAAATCCTGTCACCACTGCACTTTACCCTGTTTATTACCAAGTCAACGGCTTCCTGATTGGCTTCTGGGCTTCACTCCTGCCCGACAGGATAGCCCAAGAGTGATTAAAAAAAAAAAAAAAAATGTATCTGGTACAGGCTCTCGCTATGCACGCAGCTGGGACTCCTAGTGATCCTCCTGTCTCAGCCTCCCCAGGGCTGGGATTACAGGCATGTGTCGCCACGCCCCAGGGCGGGGCCGGCGGGGCATGTGATGCCAGAGACCAAGCCTGAGTCCCTGAAGTGATTATTTTAAATGGAAGTCAGATGACTGCTCAGAACCTCAACATTTGAGGCCTTCACGTGCGTGAGCTAGCTGCCCAGGCCCGATCTCGCCTGCGCTCCCCCAGCTCCTCCACCCAGCACACCTGCCTGGGGGCGCGCCTCCTCTGCAGGCAGAGGCCTCCTCCAGAGCGCCACAGGGCCCTCTTCACGCCCACCACCCTCCACTCCACGCTCCCCAGTCCACTTCCTGTTTCCTCTGTAATAATTAGACCAGCAATAGTAGATGTGCAGTGAGTTCCAGGAGTGGACCACGAAGCCGCGCGGGAAGTCACGCTGGCAAAGGCGTCCACGCAGCCGCCGGGGGCCGCGCCTCTCCCCGAGCGCCTGCAGCCCGGCTCGTTCTCATGCACTGGACCGGACCGGAGCGGACCGGACCGACTGTGGGCTGGCTTCAGGCTGGCTGGCGCACCCGCGCCTGTGGCCGTCCGAGACGCCTCACAGGAAGGCCCTTTGGTGGCTGAGACTGTCTGTGGCTCTAGACAATCAGGGCAGGAGATGAGGTTTTTGCTTTCATTTTTTTCCCCTTTCTTGGCATTGTACAAAGTCTGGATATATGTGCAGACTGAGAACTGTAAGTTAAAAATGCAGCCAGAGAAAGCTCTAGAAAGAGCAAATGAAATACAGGGACCAGAGTGTGGTATTAGACAAAATAGTTTGAAAAAACAAAGGCTTAGGAAAGGTGACTGCCGTTGATGAAACTACTGATCACACCGACAGGCGACCTTAGTATTATGTCGTCAAATGACAGGATCTGAACACATTTCAAATACCTACCATGTCTTTCTAAAAAGCAGTTGCCTACAACGGTGTTTGAAATACGACATTCGGTAACTATTTCCTGAACTAAACCAGAATCCTCACTTTGGGATGGTTAGAATTTTATTACAGATGAGAAACTATTATAGATGATTTTTTAAAAACCAATGAACTTTATTGCTTACCTATATATATTAGTCACTACATCTGAAACCAATTTAAACTGGTAAATTTGGTATAGCTCAAGATTCATTAAAAATGTTGGCAAATATTCACACAAACCAAGAAAAAAAAGATTTCCAGATTTTTTATTTCTGGAACTGTACACCAGGTATTAAAATACAACAAATACAAAATAATGCTCAAAAAAATCAGTGTCTTATGTACAAATATTAAAATCAATGCAACATAGCAACTTCCTCTTGAATACTGGATACTAAAACTTGTTCTGATTGTCACTAATTTATCTCATACTCACAGGGTACTTATTTCAAACTGGGACAACTGGAATCACTGGTCATCTAAGAGGAATATTAATATCTACCATATTTAACAATAAAACTAATAGGTTCCTCTAGGTGAAAAAATCAGGAACTTTTTAAAAAACATAGCAATGTCAATATCTTATAAATTACTTCAGTTTCTATTTGTAGACAATGTGCTTTGAAACTCTGGGCAAACAATCTCCTTGGTGGTCAGGTTTACTTGTTAGTTTACATTCAAAGTTGAAATATTTACTAGAGACTTTGGTTAAATTAAATAGTATCACTATGCTCCATTAGATCAATGTTCTCAAATATTTATGCCCCCTCAATTTTAAAAATTAAAAGGAAATGATTGCACAATTCTTTGACCTAATTGTACAGACTTTAGTTAAAACTGTATTCTACATCCTTCAAGTAAATTCAGCAGTTGACCATGACAAGAGGAAAACTAAACACTTAAAAAGCTAGCATGAAAAAGGTGAAATACGACGAACAGAAGTATTGCTCTAATCACAGCACCAGTTACACTTCTGAAGGAATCCACCATCCTCCTCCTCAAACTCCCTGTACAGAAAGGATACATCAGCCAACACTGCAATTTCTCACCACGAATTTTTGGTTTGTTCACATGAAAATAATGTGGCAAAGGAAGAAAAAGAATTCATCACAGTTTGTTATAAGAATTGTGCTTAATACTAATAATAAAGGCCTTGTTTCTTCATATGATTGCAGATCAGATATTTTCATGTTTTCAAACGCAATTCTTTTAATAAACAGTAACAAATTCCATTAAGATGTTTAAATGGAAAGAAAAAACCCAGTAAATCCAGCTTTTAAAAGAAAATTCAATAAATAGCTATTTTACATGGATAGTCATAGTGGTACAATTTATGAATGTCACATCAAGCATGCACAAAAATGGTATTATACATGGCAGAAGTAGTCAGAAAATATTGAATTAGATCTAAAAAGATATGAAGGATTTACACATATATACAAAAATCTTGCAAATTATTGCCTCATTTTAACAAGGAATTAAAAGTAAACGTTGCCAGCTAGTTAGCACTCTCTGAGGCTAAAATCAGATTGGCATTAAAAATCTATTAAACTAGCTGGAGTTTATTGTTCTCTCATATCATTTTCTGGATTTTGGTCAAAAATCTTTATTTAAATAACTAAAGTGTCCATTCAACTTGCTGATAATCAAAACTTTAGATAAGAAACACAGTTTCCCTCTTACATCAAGACCCCAGCAATGCATAGATAAACGGAAGATATGACTGCATCAGCTGATGAGAATGGGCATGTTTAGTAAGTGCAACTGGTATTAGCATTCAGTCATCTTTGTGTAAATTATTTATACAAACCAGCCACTGTAAACCCAGAGCGAAAATTAAAGTTTTAGCAATGGAAGATTATGGCCAGTATCTTACTAAATTATAAAAAGTATACTGATTTCTAACAAAAGACATAAGGTTCAAAGTTTAGCACATAACACAGCAATAAGAAGCTGACAGTTTGGATAAAAATACCAGAAAGCAACAAAGCGCCCAGGCTACCCATACTGACTGTGTGCACGCAGGAACGCTAGATTTCAGATGTATAAATTAGAAACTGATTTTAAGTTATTAATTTAACTATTTTTGTCCCCTGTGCTAAGCTAAACTTTAAAGTAAATGTGCTACTGCGTAAACACTTCAAAGCAATCTTCATTAAAATGCTGCAAAGGAAAAACAAGAATACACATCATCCAAAACGAAGGACGGCATTGCAGTTCACAGTTTGTAGAATAAATACCCTCCCTTCCGACCACTACGACTACCACATCCTATCTACTCTTCAGCATGACCTTGAAGCAACTTACACTTACAAAAGTAGCAATGCAGCCAAACACTGAAGTTTTTTGCAAAGCAACACAACTAGTATAAATCAAAAAATTTAATTAAGACGGTGCAAAAAAGTAATTATTCTAACTGTACTACAAAAGCAAAGCTATCTCCTAATACTGTATAACATACTGTTGGATTCACCTTGTAACTTAAAGATGTGTCTTTAGGGCAAAAATGGCCAAAGTTTATGACAATGGCTTCTCATTCACAATGTTTGAAATAAAAATAAACTGAGTTTTGATGCCTCTGAACGTCTATCACTTTTTAAAACCTGAAGCGGTGACGCACCATTCTGTTCTGGACAGGAACTCGCATTTTTCTGGCCAATTGTTCGAGCTAAACAAAACAGTTTAAATATCCTTCAAGGTTCTACTACATTACGCATAAAATCTGGAAGTCCCTCTAAATATTCACACTTTGAACTGCAGCGCTACACGCTTAAGGTGTGCCGAAGCGTAACCACTGAGTGGCACCATCCTAGGCTTCCCGAGTCATCTGCCTCAGGATGAACTCAACAATCAGTGACCCCTATGATTTTTACGATTACAATCTTGATAATGGACAAAACCCCACATGAATATCACATCTTCCAATACCAATTTTCTTTAGCCAATAAATTAAATGACACAGAAATAAATATCCTGGCAGTAAAACGACCAATTCTGTGTAAGGTAGCCCCGGTCTGAAATTTAGAAACAGGATCCAAGCAAGAGTCCTCATAATCTGCACACAGCTCCTTGCGCTGGCTTCCGGAGATGGACCTGCTGTTCTGTAAACTCAAGTGCTTAGGTGGGTAACATGAGAGAAGTTTCCATTTTAAAAAAATCCTTGCATGTTTGTGCAGTTTAAAGAAACCTACCCCTGCTCTTATTAATAAAGAAATTAAAACCAAAAATGCTACATCGAGCAGGGACTGGGGTTGGTACCTGTAAACATTGTTATTCAACTGCATCCATTTCGGCAAAAGGAATTGACGTGAAGAGAAGCCACACCGTTCAGGTCAGAACATCTGTGCTGGTTTTGAGCCGGTGGCCTGTCTACAGGTTTTAAAACTGGGAATGGGGACAGCGGGAACAGAACTAATAGAAAAGGGGAAGCGGGAAGAGGTCCTGGGGGTGAGGAAGGGAGGCAGAGCTTAAAGCTGCACCACAGAGTTCAATCTTAGTTCCCAACTCTGCTGATCATAGTTCATTTCCACATTTATGGACTGAAAAATGAAAATACTCTTGATAAATCAAGATATAGTTCTATACATACAGACATCACTGATGTCATAGTGAAAAAGGTTCAAACTTCCAGTGAAAGACTATGCAAACCCGACGGCTCCCGCAGGTCTCCTGGCCCGCACGCCCAGGCCCAGCCCCACGTCACTCGGAGTGGAGGGCGGCGTGCTGGTGCAGAGCATGCGCGCTGATGAAGCCGTTCGCCTCGCTGGCAGAAAGGCTGCCGAAGTCAGCCACGGAGACAGCCACTTTGGCGCTGGCGATGTGATGCGTGTGGTTTCCGAAGTCCACGCCCAAGTTATTTACTGAGACTTCACTCATAAAGGACTCGGGGACAGTGATGCCCATTTTCAGCCTCTTTGCGGGTCTTTCTGATTCTTCACTGCACATGTTCATAGGATTCAGCTCCGAGTGATAAAATCCAGTCTCAAATAAGTTAAAACAATCATTTTCCCCATTGCTGGGCAGGGTGAGTAACTCCTCCGTTACAACAGGCACATGATTTACTTGTCCCCGAGGTGCGCTGCCTAGCGCAGGAAAGCTGTCGTCCAAACAGCTAACGTCCGTGGGGTTGCAGACGGTCGCCACACTGTTGGTCAAAGCTAAAAGGAAGTGGGAGATGGTGTAAGTAATGGTCCTCGACGTAGGACACACAGGACACCGCTGTACTCCGCGCTCCACTGCACAGCACAGAGCGAGCCCACTTCTCACCTGTCAGGTCACTGGCAGTGAACGAGTTGAGGATGCTCAGCTGCTGGTCAGGCAAGGGCTCAGCCCTGGGAGAAGCTAGGGCTGAGGAACTCACGGGCCCTCCCAGAGCTTCCGTTTCGTCTACCAATCGATCCATGTAGTCCCTGAAAAACACCCACTGACAGCTTTACAACTACGCCACTGCTTAAGAAAAACAAAATCAGTGCAGTCAAAGCCACAACTTACGTAACTCCAGGGTGATGGTTGTACCGCTTCTTTCCAAATTTTGTTTGTTGAGCAAAGTAATCATAGCGTTCAGATTTCTTCCACATATAGTAGAAGGCTACACACTCAGCAACTGTTCTAGTTCTCACCTAAGGAAAAAGATATTTAAAAAAACAAATCAATACACCCAACCGACTCTTTCCCCAGCAGTGAAGCTTTAACCCATGAGTTTTATTTTGTCCTCCCAATGACAAAACTCAACACTTTTTTTAAAATAAAATGTCTTGATGTGATGAGGTTTCCAAAAGCCCAAGGTTTAAAAAAAAAAAATTTAGTTTATAAAATTAATGTGTTTCGACAAATTACCTCATACATTTTACTAGAAATCTTCCAACTGTTTTCATCGAATTCTCACTGTGATTCTCACTAAAGAAGGAATTTTTTGGCTTCTCTTGGAGACATGGTCTCACTATGTACTTCAGGCTGGTCTCAAATCTCGCGGTGATTCTCCTGCCTTGGCCTCACGAGTGCCGAGGTTACAGGTATGTGCCACTGCACCCAGCTAGTAGGGACTCGGTCTCGGATTAACCAAACCCAAACAGGTCCATGAATGGTTTTCACTGAAATCTGCCCTTTCCTGACCCTAAGAGAAAGGTGACAGAGGGCCCAGGTTTTTAACACACGAGCACCAATCCAAAGGTCTGCCCACAAACGTCCCCACATGTGAGCGGCTGCACAGTGCAGGCTGGCTACCTCACTGCTTGTGTCTCCAGCGTCTGAGAGCAGAAGACACCACTGTTACTGTCCCAGAGTGAACAGGCAGAATGAATTAACATCACTGCAGAACTGATGGCTTTATTTTGATTTAAAGGGAAAACTCAGACTTCAGAAATGTTTATTCAGGACATTAAATACCTCATCTATTTTTGAGAAAACATTAGGTTTTATATTATTTAAAAGCATGATATTTTCAACATCATATTGGAAAGTATAGTTAAGACAGTAACACAAGGAGGAAAAAAGGTCCAGCAAGATAGCTCAGTGGACAAAGCGACTGCTCAGGCAAGCACAGGGACCGGGGTTCAATCCCTGGCAAGCCTGTAATCCCAGTGCTGGGGAGGCTGACAAGAGATCACTACCAGTCCAAGCTGCCTTTTTTTTATGTACCAAATACATATAGAAAAAAAAAAAAAAAAGGCATACAGACTACAAAGAAAAAGCTTTTCTGTTAACAAATGACATTATCTACACTGGACATCTCAAAGAATCAACAACAATACTCCTGAAATGCCAGACAAGTGTAGCAAGGCTCCAGGACTCAAGGTTAATACAGAGTCAGCTGCTATCTAGTAGTACTGAACGGAAACGTAAAACAACATAGTCACACCTACATTAGCAACCCCCAAATTAAATGTACGTGTATCAATCTAACACAACAGAGGCAAGAGCTACCAAAGTCTTACTAAAGAAACTGAGGAAGTAAATAAATGCAGAGAGAAGTCTATCTTCACGGCAGGAAAGCTGGTCACTGTCAAGCCTCCCTGCTCCTGGCTTGCTCTGTGCATGCAGTGCAGTCCCCCAGCACTGCCGGCGAGTTACTCTGCAGATGCTGGCAAAACAAGTTCTATACAGGAAGGCAAAACCCGGGATAGCAAATACAGCAGTGAGGGCAAAGTCGAGAGCCTGGCGCCATCCAACTTCAGGAACTCACTACGAAGGTACAGCAATGAAGACAATGCACTATAAGGGAAAGACAGATTGACGGGACCAGAGAAAAAGGCCAGAAACACACCACACAAATGCCCAGTGTCTTCCCAAATGCCATTTTGTGCATCTTGCGGGTCCTGCCAACACTGCAGGCTGCTGGGACACATGTTTTTGTTTTGGTTTTTTTGCCATACTCAGGACTTATTCTACTGAGCTTTCTCCCCAGCCCTGGGACACATGTTAGTGGCTATCAGTCACAATGTTTCTTTTTTCAGCAACTGTATTTCTCAGTGCTGAAGGGAAAAAGTTTTGAAGCCACAAATCTCTGAATAGCTTAGAAAAAAGGAAAATCATGAAAAATTAATAAATCTTAAAAAAATACTGAATCCATTTCTTGTGAGTAAAATAGTACAATAACAGGTTCTTTTGAAACCTAAGTGAAGACACTAGCAGCCTTCCCACAGCAGGAGCCTGGGGCAGGGCGCTGGAGGGGGCGAGCAGCAGTAACAGCGGGGAACATTAACAAGTTGCTTTTTGTCTATCAAATAACTTACAAGTTAGTTGCTCATTTACTGTAATTTGTGAGTTTGCAGTACTAATTTATGTAACATACCTTGTTTTTCTGTATGAGATGAAAATCTTTCCCATAAAGCATGAGAGCATGTTCAAAGCTTCGGCACTCTTCCTCTGTCCATGCAGTCATTCCTTCTAAAATAATTTTTTTTAAAGATATTAATTGGCCACAAAACTCAGTGGATCATTAGTTTGTTTTCAGTATATATTCCCAGCAAGGGGCCATGAACTCATGCTTATTGATTCCCCCCATCCACACACAAACACACACCCAAATTTGGTGTGTTAGGTGACACCAAGTAAGAGCAGCAGGAGGCTGCGTGCTACAACAATGCAGAGTCTGCCAAAAATGTATACACGCTTAAGGAGAAGAAAAGGCAGCACTATGTCTTTTCAATGAGTGCCATTAGCCTTGTTGATGACGCTGGAGGCGTGAGCCTCCAGAACACCCGCCACACTCCGGGCTCCGGGAGGAGGAGGGTCACCCAGCGCTGGAAGCTCGTGGCCACTATGGGAAGCGCCTCCTGTACTGGCAGAGGCCAAAGCTAACTTGATTCATCTCATGATGTGGCAATAAATTTGGTATGAAGATATTTACTCAAGTTTTTCTTTTCCTTAAGTGTGTATACATTTTTTGGTGGACTCTGTAGAATAAGAAATATCAAGTTTTTTCCTTGGCATTATAGGTTAAGAATTTAATGATTTTTAAAGGTAATTAAAAAATTTCAGCTTATTTTCCATTTTTTTCCCAACAATGAGCATACAATATTTTTAAATTAAGAGAAAAAATCAGATTTATCTGTGGAATGAAAAAAGCCCTATCTTTGTCTCACGCTATCACCACTGAGTCCTTCACAGACATACAGTACAACTGGCGTGAACTGAAAGCTAATAGGTGACTGCCACGCCGTGGACATACAAAAGGAACAGAAGTCCACACTCTCAAAATGCTGAAGCACACTAAACTTCCCAGCAGATCTCAGTGCTGATCCATTACAAATCTAGTGGAGACCCGGAAGGTCTTCGTGAAGACTGAATTTGTTCCGAGTCCTCTTTCAGTGGTGTTGGGCCTTATTCTTAGTGACTGGTAGTCATACCAGTAATCTATAATACAGGCAAAAAATAACTTTAAGTATAGAAAAATCAGTATTTAGTCTTTGAAAGTATTTTAACAGCTTAAAATAGTATTTTCAAGTCAGTAGCTTTAGCAAAAGCACTTTTCAATAATTACCTCAGCCCACAAACTGTAATGGACTACCTTCAGCTTCCTTATTTTCCTACCACACTTATCCAAGAGTTTCACCCCATTCGTACTTAATAAAGGCTACATTACATGCAATCCATTTATCTGACAAAAAAATACTAAAGTAAGTTAACTATTTTCCCTGACATGCACTAAAAAATATTAGCACTTTAAAATTCGTGTTATGATTACTAAAAATGTATTTTTCACAACAAATTCAATGGATTATATGGTTTTTAAAATCTTCATTCTCTTTGCTATTTCCTGTCTACTTTTTTAAAAAGAACAATTTTTTTTCAATGAAACCATAAAATCATTCTTTTAATTACTTTGGATGTACTGTCATCTGTGGGGTCTGCTTTGTTCTTTAACTTTCTTCAAGAAAGAGAAGGTGACAGGGGCAACTAATTTATATTTGAACAATTTCTGGCACGTCTAAAAATAGAGGGCAAGAAAAAGAAGAAATCATGTTTGCTAGGAAGATGAACCAGTCTTTATGAAAGTGTTGAGCAACTGCTCCCTCCCGCCGGGCCTGGCTCGCTCCCCAGCGAGCCCCACCACCGCCTCGCCGACTCAGGGCGCTCCTCACCTTGCGCCGCCTTTCCGCTGCAGCAGTACCTTTCCACCGCTTCCTTTATATTGTGGTTACACTTGAGAAGCTCATACAATGCCTACAAGAGAGGGGGAAAATTCAATAAAAATCACCAACAGCTCGTACCTAAAAATACTTTAAGAAACTGGAGCTAAGAGTCAAGGGCCGGCCTGACAGCTGAGCAGACTTAACGCGCCTACTCAGGCAGACACAGCAGCTGGGGTTCGATCCCGGCCTGCTGCGCCGGCCCGCCCCGGGGAGCGCTGAGATGGTGACTGAGACTGGTGTGGTGGCGCGCGCCTGTGATCCCTGCCCTTGGGAGGCTGTAAACAGGAGGATCACTATGAGTCCGATCTAGTAGTGAGACCCTGAGCACCCTGTAGACCCTTCCCTGAAATACCAGAAAATAATAATAAAAAATAAAAAATATACAGTCCATGTTGAGAAGGAAATTACTACTTTTCATGTTAAAAACTTAGCATGCTACTTCCATCAAAAGGAGCCCTGAGCCATGCCCACTGCCCTGAGGGGTGTGGCTAATACGTCCAGACATAACAGGAACGAGAGAATTACACTACGGGAAGTACGAACGTGTTATCTAATTAATTGATTATTTATTTTTATAAAAGTGTAATTTAACACAAACCTTAAAACTAGAAACCCACCATAAATGTATATAGTTATGACATCAATACTTTAAAAAACTAGAAAACCTAAAAAACAATTAAAAAATCAAAGTACATTTCAATAGCTTAAAATATAATAAATTGAAAGTTATAAAAAGTAAATAAAAATAAATTATTTTTCTATACGAACACAAAATTATAAAGAGACCTTGCTTATGACAGCAATAAATACATGACCACCCATTTAAAAGATAATGAAGAATTTAGCTACTACGATGGACACGATGTTCAAAAAACCAAAAATATCTGAATGATTGAAAAAAGTCAAATAAATGGAGTCAGGTATGTTCCCAGAGTGAAAAGTTTAACGTCTTAATGGTATAAATTCTTCCAAAATCAATCTATAGACTTAATAAAGTATCAGTATAAAATATTAATGGGGCATCTTATTGACAGTTGAAAAAAACTAAAGCTAGTCTGACTTCCTTATATAACTTAGAAATTCAAGTTTGAGTCTACTGATTTCTGGGTACTAATTAGTCAGGAACGCTTAGGTTGGGCATATGAGTGAGAAAGGTTCAAAAAGAAGAAAAAAAAAGGGACAAAACAAAGGGCATTCAGAAGGCACTCAGGAATCAACATTCCCACTTCCCTCCTGCACACCAGCAGGCGTCTGCACATTTATAGGGACACAGGCTAAGCAGACGTTCCTAAGTCAAATTTAAAGATAATACCTTTTAATCAGCCCTGAATAAAACTTGAGAATAACTCAAAGAATAGCTTTACCATGAAATCCGAAAGACTAACAAAAGAGAATGGTTTTTAAAAAGATACTGAAGGTATAAGATAGTATATGTAAATAATTATAGTGAATACTTAAATATAAGAATACTTAATTTTTAAAAAATGAATTACGATCAAGACATAACAGACATACTGTTAAGTAACAGCCCTCAAAACACCCCTCCACAACTCATTCTGAGTCTGCCACCGTCTGAAGCAGTTCTGGGTTGTCTTTCATCAGGGTCTTTAGTTGTGCTGTCCTCACTGCTCTGATATCTTGAATCAGTTGAAAATATTTAACTTTCACAGTCATGCTAACTACGAGGAGAGCCAACGTCCCTCGACACTAGAGCTGGTGAATGCGGCGGATGAAAAGGCCCCTCAATGTTGGTATGAGCCTGCCTTCCAGCAGGTGTTATGGCTTGCACGGCGATGTTCCCCAGCCTCATCCCTCGGCATCATGTGCACATGGGTGGGCTCCTAGAAGCTGGCTAGATCTAAGGTGTGTGAGGCTGGGATTAAGGGTGCCCATCCTGGCTTTGGGTGGCACTATCCATACAGGGGGTAGCTTGGAAGGGATAAAAGGGACACAAGGAGCTCTGCTACTTGTCGCCTTCTGATGCCAAGGGTAGCTTCTCCTCTGCGATGCCCCTCTGCCAACACCGCCCTGCCTTGGAGCCAGCCCACTATGGACTAAAACCTCTACCAACTGTAAAATGAAATAAACTTTTCCTCCTAACTTCTGGTGTCAGGTGTTTTGTCTCAGCAACAAGAAAAGTAACTAAAACCGATTTTGGCACAGGAGAGGGGTGACTCTATGTTTATTCCTGAAGATTCTAGACCATTTGTCATTCTGCCTGGACTGGATGCTGTCGTTTCCCACTGACTTTACTAAGAGGGCATGGGAATCCCAGGAGGTACCCTCCAGGATCTCTGGCACCCCAAGTATACTGTTCTTGTCCTTCAGCATCAAGTAATAGTCTAATTTCCCCTTGATGGTCTGGGTCAGTCAGTACTGCCAACAGCAAAACTCCCTTTGTAGCTTGTTTACTCAAAGGTATGAGGAGACCAAAATGACCAGGAGGAAGCTTTTGCTTCCAGTTCAGTGGTGTTACTGTCATGCTTCCAGGAACAAGCCCTCTCTACTCTGGAACTAAGACTTCTAATCCAGTGGAATAGGAAGGGAAAATGTCACTAGGGGATCACTAGGGGCAAGGGTGGGCAGCACTGTACCTGCTTCCTCCACTCCTTGAATCAGGACCTGTGAGTCCTGGCAATGCAGACACAGAGCCATTCAGGGGACACTGATTCAAAGCATATTCAGCCTTTGCAAGCACCTTGCCCCAGCCCTGCAAGCTACAGCCACCCAGGTGGCCCTGGAATGGTCTTCAAAAGACCATTCCACGTTTCTATCCATCTGGCTGCTGGTAAGACCAGCGAGTCTGTGAGCACGCGCCCCCTGCCTTACTTCTCTGACTAAAACGTGGTGCTGGACCAGAGGCAGTGCTATACAAACTGCACAATGATGGACGACAAGGCAGTCTCTGAATCCATGGAGGACAGTTCAGACTGAAGCAGGACATGTCCACTCTGGGCACCTGTCTTAGTTACCCTTCTCTTGTTGCTGGGACAAATACCCGACACTCAAAATAAAGGAAGGAAAGGTTTATTTAGCTCACAGTTACTGGAGGTTTCAGTCCATATTCACCTGGGTCCAAGGCACAGTGGCACATGGCAGAGGGCAACCTTTCATGGCGGTGGCAAAGAGCAAGAGCACAAGGGAGGGGTAGCAGCAGCTCAAGCAGCTAGCTTCTCTTCCCACCTTACATTGTAATGCAAATTACCTGCCCCAGGGGAGGGGCAGCATCCACACCAACAGTAATCAACCACAAACTCCAGAAGCCAGGCCAAGGGGCCCCTTGGCTGGGGAGATGGCTCAGTGGAATAAGCACTACTCTGACAAGCACAAGGGCCTGAGTTCAATCTCTGGTTCCGCAAAAAAAAAATAAAATAAAATAAAAGAAGCCGCCCCAAGACTGCACAAGGCTTTGGGGGGACATTTATACACAAACCTTAACAGCACCAAAATCTGCCTAGTCGCTCTTCTCACTGCTGAGACAAAATATCCAAAGTTGGAGGAGGAGGTGTTTCAGGTCGCAGTGGGCTGGCCCTAGGGCAGGGGAGTGTGGCAGAGGGCCTGCAGGGGAAACTGCTCGTGGCAGGCAGGAGGCAGCCAAGCAGCAGCACACCTGCTTGCCTTCCATCCTTTTAGCCCTTCCAATCTACCCCCTTCTGGGCAGTGCCACCCACAGCACGGTGGGGCACCGTTAATCCCAGCATCCCACACCTTAGATCCAGCCAGCTCCAAAAGCCCCAGCTAAGAGTGCGTGCGGCTTTCAGAGGCCACCTAGACACCAGCTACACCAGGTGACACTCAGCCGCATTCACCACCTTTTTATCATATCTCACAGGCACGCTCACAAAAGGGGACTCCAGCGCTGCTTCAGAAGGTGGCAATAACAATGTGGCGTGTCTTCAAGGTAAGAGTTAATACATCCAAGATTAGGGATGCTGTGTCTCTCACCGGAGTAAGGTCTTTTAATTCAAACATTTCCCACATATTTTGATCATACTTTGATAGTTATCAAGAATGATACTTCAGAGTATTTGATTAAAAGGATATAAAAACAGTACTTAAGATACGTGTACATGTATAAAAAGACACAAAACTACTATATATAAGTTGGAACCAGTATTTTGAAAATTAAAATTTAAAATATCTATCAGAAAAAGACATATCCAGTTCTCACACAGGAAATAAATGAAACCAACAAAAGAAATAAAGAGAGCCCGACAGAAGCAAGTCTACCTGTTCATTGTCCCTTGTGTGTGCTCCTGCAGAAATCTTATCCATCACTTTTTCACTTCCAGTTCTTACTGATGTCTCAACAAGATACTCCTTAACTTTGCTCTCCAAAACCACATCAGGACGCCAGAGTAACTGATCTTCATGTTCATACACTAAGAAAGAAAAACTGATTAGCTCAATGAAAATACTAAACACATAAAATGTACACAAACCATCCCTCCACTTCCGCAATAGGCTATCCACTGAGATAAGTAACCAGCTCTGGGGACATCAGGAATTAGCCTGTTAGAGGAGACCCTTCGGCTACCATAAAAATATTTTTTACAAAAACTTTATAATTATCCAAGGCAGTGGCCAGAAGGTGCTATTTCAGTGGCTAGATTAGCAAATAAGTAAGAGGCTTTCTATGCTTAGAAAAGTCTAAAAGCAAAACTCCATTCTGGCATCTTACCTTCCTCTAAAGTAAAAGCAAAAATGACCTGTCAATGTTTTTTAATAACCGCACTGGAATTTTCCCTTGCATTCCCTAAATGGCTCTCTGAAATTTTCAGATTAAAATTACAAACAAAACAAATGAACAAAATTAAGTAACAAACTATCAGACAACAAGAAACCAAAGGAGTATTTTTCTTTTTTTTTTTTTTTTGCGGAACCAGGGATTGAACTCAGGTCCTTGCGCTTGCCAGGGAAGCAAGGAATATTTTTCTTTTAGTGATTTCTTCCCATAAAGAGAATTTTTATTTAAAGGACTAAGCAGATTAATCAAACTCTCATAGGGAAGTTTCTGAAAAAACAGGGAAACAGTTAAGAAAATTAACCACTCTATAATCTCTTACTGACTGATGTATCAATGAACAAAACGAGATTTCTTTTTTTCTTTCTTGGTACCAGAAACTGAACTCAGGACCTTGTGTTGCCAGGCAGGCACTTGTACTATTGATCCATATCCCCGGCCCTAAAACAAGGCTTATGATTTCTGAACGCACCCTACCAACCTTGCCCAAAGATTCTACTTTGCACAAGAAAGCAGTATGATGACCCAAGTATTTACCCTAACCCAAGTGGAATTTATGCTGAGATACATAATACTTAGTGAATACGGTTAATGAAAATAATTTATTATTCTCACTATGTAACAGGAGGGTAATAAGCATTTTACATTCACAATATATAAAACACACTACAATTTGCATTTAGCAGGAAAGTTAAAAATGCAGTGTGCCTATGAAATATGAAGACTAAGTTTCGGGGCCGGGGAGATGGCTCAGTAGAATAAGCGCTTGCCTGGCAAGCACAAGGGTCTGAGTTTAACCCCCAAAGACTAACTTTTTCTGAGGCTAGGCCTCACCATGTACTAAAGGCTGCCATGAACTCACTTATGTAGCTCAGGGTGCATGGAACTCACAGTAGTCCTCCTGTCTCAGCCTCCCAAGTGCTGAGATTACAGATATGTGCCACCATGCCTGGCTGAAGACCTTTTACACAAGTTTCTAGAACTAATTTCTTTACCTTTTGGTCACAAATGAAATAGGCAAAACAGTCTGGGTTATTTTCCTCAAAGACAGGGCTGGTAGATCTTTCCTCTTGAATGTGCAGAGGAGAAACACCAAGTCCTCTGTGTCTGAACAAGGGTAAGAGGCTGCTGAGCAGGCCCTGGCCCCCAGGTGGGTGCATGGGGGGGGGACAACGGGGTGTTCCAAGTCACCAGTGCTCCTTGCTTCCTTGAGCTGTCGCCCATCAGTCTGAAAGCAACTGAGACAACGCTGCTGCTAGTGCTTACCAAGGTACTTGCTGCAGATCCTAGGGTAGGCCAGACCTTCCTCCTTTAAAGAAGGATGACCTAGCAGGATGTAATGCAAAAGGACTCGGCTGTGTGGTTTTTGCTTCACAGGCCCGAAATTTAACTCCCTAGGCAAGACTACAGGGCCACAGAAACACTCCCAATCAATTTGGTTCCCAAGATCAGCTAGGAAAGTTGTAGGGCCTGCATTTTCTCCCACTCTGCCCCCTGCACACTTTCAGAACTGGATTTCCAATGAATTGACCAAAATGTGAGGGAACACTGCACACAGCAGTGGTGTACAGCCGAAGAGCAGAACTCCACGAGACTGCCTCACTACCTATCCTCACCACTGCTGCGGCCCGCGGGAGGCGCGGCACAGTGTGAACAGGCCCCAGCCAGGCTCACAGGAGAAGTAGGGGCAGAGGGCGCCCACTCTTCTGGTGACTTCTGACACATTTTTCCCAAGTCAGGTCTAAATATGCTGACTCTGGAAACTCCTCTGAGTTCAAATCTATCTTTTCACGCCAAAAGTTATAATCAGATATTTAAAAGAACACAGTGAGTGGCAGTTTGACCTCGTAAACATTATAGAAATCCAAAGCTTTTCTTACCTTTCTCACTGCCGTCATACTCTCCAAGATAAGGGGGAATCTCGGCCTGATACTGTAAACCAATCATTATTTCCTACAAGAAAATTCAGAAGTTTAAAAAAAAAATTTTTTTTAAAGCTGGAAAAAAGGCCCCAAATCATTCACTAGTCTTTGTAAGGCAAGAGACACTTTACCCTGCAACAACTGAACTATCATAAATCAGTTTAGAATGTCAGGCAGGTTAGCCTCACTGGCCCGCAGTACTACAAGGCCAAGTCTACGTACCTTCCTTAAATCTTCAGGGGAGTTACCACCATCCATTTCAGCATCTTCAACCTCTGACTCCTTATCACCATCACATGTTGTATTGGCTTAAAAAAAGGAAATATAGAAGATTTTTTACTGCTGAATTTTGTAGGTCTTGGGAGAAAATCTATTACACTGTCTTTTATAAAAACTTGAATCAGACCAGCATAAACAATAGTGCACTAAACCTGCAATATTTTCACAATGGCCAGCAGTCAAAAAGAAAACGCTAGTGGAGTATATACTACCCTTTCAATTTTTAATGCACTATGACTTTGGAAACTACTGTGACTTAGAAAGAAAGGAAAGCACTAAAACTATGATTTGACTCACCCAGAAGAGAATCTACACACAGCAACAGCAGGAAGGCCACTGAAGTCGCTTTTTGTGTACATAGTCACAAGCACGCTTTTAACTTGTTAAACTAAATATAGCCCTTTCTACCATAAAACACCCCCCAAAAATTAGTGAGACTGTAGATAAACACTTACTTTAATCCAAAACCTTTTAAGTGTTATTGATAAATGCTAAGTATAATACCAAGAGCTAAAAGGAAAAAAAAAAAGAAAGCCACCAAAGACAAAAACACTCCCCCGCAGGCCCCAACTGGGAACTGACTTCAGGCCCTGAGCCATCTCCCTGGCCCCAAAAAACACTTTTTGAGCACTGATAAGTTTTCAAATTGAGAAGCGTAAGAGCCTTTTGGCAAAAGCCCAAGGCAAGTGCAGGACTTCATGGCTGCACTGAGGTAGCCACAGACCAGCCTCAGGAAAGAAACTGCCTCGCAAAGCGAAGTGAAAACATCACACTAGACAGTATATCAGTTCACTCTGCCCCGGGGAAAAGGGCTGGACCTCATGCAGGCTGCACTAGTAAGTTATTTAAACCACATAAGTCACTTGGAATAGGCTAAGGGAGACGACTGCACTAACATGACCCCCACAACTACCGGGCAACGCGGCTCAGTTTCTTACATCGCAGAGGCCTGGGGAAGAAATCGGAAGCTTCGTGGGAAGTCACGGACGGCGTCAGGTCATCCGCAGAGGACTGGGTCTCCTCATCATCGCCCGACAGCAGATCTTTCGCTATCTCCTCCTAGGAGAAAGCAGGGCTGCAGTCAGAAAGGAGAGCTTCTCCTTCAGCAAAGTGCCTTATTTTCATAATACATAATTAAGAACCAATTGATGCCTTCTTAGTTTTGAAGAGAAAATCTGAAATTCTGTATTTAATGGACTTGTTTAATACCATACTGTTAAATAAGAACAGCATAAATACAGTTATTCACTTACAACAATTTATCTAATCTGTGGGTATACAGAATTTACTTGAAGCTGCAGCTAATTTGTCTGAGTTTACAAAAATAACTTCTAGCAGGACCCTGGGGTACATGCCTGTGTCCAGCTCCTGCAGAAGGCTGCGACAGGAGGCCCAGCAGAGCTCAGGCGCTCGTGGCCAGTCGAGGCAACAGAGCGACACTGCAGCCCCCAGACTGGTGACCAAGCAGAAGCAAACACAAGTGCCTTCTAAGTGGGTACACTATGTTCACTTTCTGCCAACCAATAAAATTATTTTTATATGCGTTTGCTATAAGGTCTCGCTATGCAACTTGTACTCATAGTGGTCCTCCTTTTTAACACCCCTCACCACTGGGATTACACGCATGCACCACCATGCCCAGACTCGGTGGCTGGCTCAGCATGCCCGAGAGCAGGGCCAGCACAGCATGTGGTGCCAGGGATCGAACCCCAGGCCCTGCACTTGCCTAAGCAGGTGCCTAGTCTGCTGAGTTATCTTGTTGGCTCAAGAAATAAAATTTTAAACTGCCTCCAAGGTCCACTCTTTCAATGACTTAAGTCAAATTAAAGCACAGCTTTGACAGGTAATACAGCTTTGAAAGAAGCCAGACTGAATTCTTTTTTCTATCACTGCCATGAACCTTATTCCCGGCAGACAGTGAGCGCTCAGCATGGCACGGCTAGGGAGCCCGTGCCTGTGGTACATCACTGTCACGTTCACTCAGAAGGGCAGACCATCTAACTGGAGGAGGAGGTTCTCGGATGTGGATTCCTCCCCTTCCTGAGACACAAAAGGCAGAGGGAACTCTCCGGGCATCTGCCAGCGGAGCCCGGGGCGCACACGTTTCCTCAGCACAGAGAGGCTCTCTCCACAATCAGCCTACACTAGAGCTGACGTGGTGGTTCTGGCTGCCATGGCCACTCTCCTTCCTAAAACTGAGAGAACAGAACCATTCCACACTTGAGTCAGTTTGCCTCCAAGGTATCAGGGTTATCCACGCATCAACAGAGCAAAAGAAGTTAAGGCAACATCTAAATTTAGATACAACATGTTTACAAAGAAAAAAGGGGAGAAAGTACAGACCGTCCAGGCATGCCGATTTTACCACGCCACTACCACCCTTAAGTAAGTAGTGTGATCCATGTCAATTAAGGCGTCCATCAGGGAAGCAATGGGTCAACAGTAACTTTACATTTTAGGATCATAAAACGATATAAAACCCTAATGAAAACTGTGGATGGTCATGGATCCCCAATTTCTCTTTTCAATTCATGCACTTACTTTGTCTAGTGTCATGTCTGGTAGCTCATCCGCAAGTTCACTTGGGGAACTGTTTGCACTGGAGTTTGTAGCCACTGGGATCGCAGACTCGTAGCCATAGAACGCCAGGAGGTCTTCTAGAGGCATGCTTCCTTCCTGTTCAAGCCAGGCAGACAGGAGCTCAGTGGTCACGGGACTGAACGTTCAGAAGCTGCAGTGCCCGGAGACCAGGGCCCAAACAGCAGTACCAACCAAAGCCAAGGTTTAGTGTGTCTGTTCGCATTATCAGCAAATAGATCCAAACTGCTAGAATTGTATTGGAAATACTAACAAAAGTCTAATAGAATCAGAATTTTTAACATTCCTCAGATACCTGCTTTGGTGAAGATCTTTTATTTAGCTTTCACACTGGCATAATGATTTGCCCTAAAACATTCCAATTAACCAATCAATCGATAACTTCACGTAATTTGTAGCTTGTTTTCTTGCAATTACATAACGGTTAACCACTTTGCTTATTCTTTACATTACAAGATACCTAATAGTAAAAGTTGGCTGAACATTTACTACCACCAGCAATATTAGTATGGTCGTGTTCAAAATACCCTCATGCTTTTGTATCCTTACTATTATGCAGATCTTATGCCAGCTGTACTCTTGTCTTTCCACAATCTTTTTTTTTTTTTTTTTTGCGGAACTGGAGTTTGAACTCAGGTCCTTGGGCTCACCAGAGAAGCACTTATTCCACTGAACCATCTCCCCAGCCCTCTTTCCACAATCTTATAGGAGAAAACTGACACTTAGCTCCAGGTTGAAGTCCCCGGCCCCGCGGGCTCCCTGGCAGCACTCAGCACTGCTCTGATAAACTCTCTCTCTACCCTGGTGCTGCTGTTACGGGCAGGCACACTCGGCCGCTTCACACGGACACCCAACAGGCCGTGTGAATACACGTGGTGCGTTTCCTTCAAGATAGACTTCACCAAGTCACTGAAGTGAATACAACTACTTATAATTTTAAAATAAATAACTTCCAAGCAATATATGCATAAGCTAGTTGATTACTGTTTTTAGATGTTTTTATCATGAAAAGAGGGGCTTCTTAAAGCCTGTTTACTGGCTCAGTCTTCCCTTTAAGACAAAACACCTAAATTGAAGAAGCAGAAGCATGCAAATACTGAGGGAGTGGACACAATGAGCCCACACTGATCACCAACTGAGCCGAGACTCCTAGAGCTCTGAGTGCTCCCCAGGCCCACAGGGCTCAGGCCCTGGGTCCCCAGACTGCAGGTGTAGAGCACCCACATCTCTGCCTGCCTGAGCCACAGCATGGGCAAAGCTCTCAGAAGAAGCACACAACGGCATGCTGATCCCTAATGTGCAGGACCTGAGTCTAATGACTGAAGCAATCATGTCACTTGCAAAATTTTTTCAGCTTGGGATTGAAATCAATAATAAAAAATAAACAGCTTTAGGAAATTAAGAATCAACACAAAATGAGTTGGATGGTAGGACAGTTTATTTGCATCAAGGGGAAATCTCTGTGGACTGATTATGTTTTCCCAAATCAAAGAACCCGCAAAGGTGCCCAGAATTCAGCTCATCATCTGCAGTGGCTTGCTCCCTAGCACTCCTACTGGTGACACTCCCAGAGGTTACCACCTTTGCCAACCACCTGCCAACAGCATTTGCCCAAGACTTCAAAATGGAATCCACCGGAGGTGAGACGACAGCTTTCACTTATTATCCGCTCAGTATTTTATTTCTTATGATGGTCCACAGTTCTATCATTTGTTGGCCTGTAGGCATTTTTCTGATGATTACTGGCTATAGATACAGAAATTCACAGGAAAAGCCTTGCTCTTAAGGAATTTAGCACTACGAACAGAAACTGACAAGTAAACAACTGTAGTACAATGTCATGGCTGCAATGACCAGTTCTAGAACTGGGGCTGTGAGTGTCTGAGTACAGAGAAGGAAAATCCACACCCCAAAATAAATGAAACAGGAAGGCACGCGCAGAGGGTGAGTACCAAGCTAGGTCTTGAAGAAGAGGATTCGACAGGTAAGGGCTGCGTCCCTTGGGCGCATGGCCTCACCTCAGTGGCAGTGACCCAGCATTGTCGTGTGCAGGAGGCCACCACAGCAGCAGCTAATGTGAGCCACACGCCCTGCCCTTCCACAGCCGACAGGCCGGGAGGCGCTGACAACGCACAGACACAGACCTGCTGATGAAGACGAGCACAAAGGGAACACAAAGGACTCAGCCGCAGAGGGGCGGCAGGGACTGCTTTCACGGGATACAGGGAAGCACAGGACGCAATCTTCAGCTGAGACCAAGAGAAGAGAGGGAGGACACATGGCAGAGGGCCTCGTGGCAGGGAAAGGAACTCAGACTTTTATTTCCAGGCCAATGAGAAGCCATTGGCAAGCTGTGAGAAGGGAGTGGCATGACACAATTTGTTCTTGAAATTACTGAGCATGGAGGAGCACTACAAGTCTGAGTACAGACCAAATACATTAAAAAAAAAAAAAAAGGAATTAGTGGGCAGCTGCATGAAGAAAAGCCGGTGAGGGGTCTGTGGAGAGAAAGGGAGACCACTGAGGTTGCTCACTGTTTCAGGACAATGGTGCGGACATGGAGAGAAGTGACCAGACAAGGCAGTCCACTCCAGGAAGCAGGGGACACCAAATGGCTCGGCCCTCATGAGGGAAGGATGGCTCTGCACATTTCCACCTGAGCAAACTGCCTCAAGGGGGCAACTTTTAGTGAGATGATGAAGACTAAAGAAAGCTTTGGAGGGAAGAGAATGGAGACTTTCGCAGAGCACCGAGTTCCAGTGAACCCTAAGATGTCCAAGCAGAAGAACTGAGTTGGCAGCAGCCTGGGGTAGGGAGTCTGGAAGGGCTAAGGACATAAATCTGGTGGTCATTAGCATCTCGGTTTTATATTTAAAGCCACAGGAGTTGATGAGTTCACCCACACAGAGGACAGAGAGGAAAAGGGGGCCCATCATTATTAGAACTTTCACCCATATTATCCTACAGGCAACAGGGTAGGGCTACAAAAATGTAAACATGATTTTCATGACATTCGAAGGGAAATAGAAGAAAATTATTTGTACAACATTTAGGGGGAAAAATCAGTCTTTTGGCTTGATAGAAGGTCTGAAAGCAACACAGTAATCTACAGAGTGACAATGCTGCCCTGTATATTGGATAACCCCAGCACCATTATAAGAAAGAAACACAAAATGAACTCATAAACGAATGAGTTTATGATAGCAATGATGAGTGTAAGGTAAAAGCTGAAGCAGAAAGATAAAACAGCAGGCTTCGTGAATCACTGAGAAAAGCAGAGTAGGTAAAACAGTAAAGAATAGCACCAATTAAAATGTGGACGAAAGGAAAAAAAGCCTGTGCCGGGCATGGGGATGCACGCCTATAATCCCAGCACTCAGGAGGCTGAGGCAGGAGGACTGTTGCAAGTTCGCGGCCAGCCTGGGATACAAAGTGAGCTCAAGGCTAGCCTGAAGTATAAAGTGAGACCCTGTCTCCAAAAAAACAAAAGAGAGAGAGAGAGAGAGAGAGAGAGAGAGAGAGAGAGAGAGAGAGCGCGAGCGCGAGCGAGCACAGAAGCCCATATATAAGGAAGAAGTCACCTGAAAAGGGAAGCGGACTAGAAGAACACAGTATCATGTGAGCTAAGGAAAGAGCAGCACAGAAAGGTTAGGAATGGCCCACTGAGTCAAACATCAAACACTCAGGTGAGATAAAGACTCACAGGAATTCTTAGCATCTGGCAGCCAGGAAGCACTGGAGTGAATGCGTGAGAGGGGTAGAAGAAGTCAAACCAGAGTGACTGGAGGGAGAAGACTGGAGGCGGCCTCTGAAGACAGGTAAGACAGCACAGGGCCAAGGGAGAATCTCCCCCAAGGGCAGGAAACACCAAAGTGGGAGTCTACACCGAGTTGTTCTCTTTATTTTTTTTTTTTAAGTAAAAGAATAAACTGAGGGCAGAGAGTTGGAAATCTAAAAGCTACCTGGAATATGGCTGGTAATTGTGAACTAGGAGGGCAAGTATATGTGTCAAAGTTAAGCTGGAGGGTGGGAATAGTGCCCAAAACGTGAGATTATCAGTACTGAAACTTTCAAAGCAAAACTGTAAAAGGTGAGCCCAGCTCCTGAAGCACCTTGCAGATGCACTTCCGTTAGAGCCTATTTATAATAGGTTCAGTCCTTGGAAACATGAAAAATAATTTTAAAAATTAAATTAGTAAACCTGAAGGTGTCTGAAGATCTACAGTAGCTACATTAACTTAAAAGGCTTCATCTGAGCCCTTCTCAGCCACGCAAGTACACGGAGCTCTTCTTCCTGGGCATCCTGCTGAACCTATTTAGCTCTAAGGAACACGGTTCACCCTAGTCAAACTTGTGATAAGCTGCTCTGTAAGTCAAGGGGCCCGCATCCCTTTCTCACCTCCACTTCTTTTTTCTGTAAAAAGGAAAATACCATTATTTCCTTGCCCCTGTGATACAAACTCTCCTGTGTCAGGAATCAGGAGGCACCTACTAGCAACAGCTACTGTTCTATCACACGTTCATCAACGCTACTTCTAAATGAGTGCCACCTCCAACCATCACTAGGGCCTCTGAGCCAAGTCTTGTCTCATCACCTGGAGGAGGTGTTAGCCAGGCGAAAAGAAGTTATGTGAGACAAATCAATTTCAGTAACTAACGTAACAAGGCCGATACCTCACAAAACATTTTTAAAAGCACCTAAAGTCTATGAGGTAGAAAAGATTTTTTTAACTTTGTGATTCTGCTTTTTAATTTTTTTTTCAAAATTTTAAATAGCATGGGGAAGCTATACTAATAAAAGAATGGTAAACACTTCTCAAACGTTCTAACTCTATATGTAGGACTATTAAAAGCTCTCAAAAAGCAGTAACATGAAAAAATAAAAGGTATGACCTCATTCTAGTATATTTAATAACTCAAACACAGTTGTATGATTTATATGCCTCCCACCCCAAGAGCTACTGTAAGAAAAATGAATTTGCATCTCTCATCTTGTTTTCCATACCTCGGGCTATACGAAATTTTTGCAAGTACTAAAATACAGAGCATACCTATAGTCAAGAATCCACCAAATTTATTAGCTATGAGCGTGAAAACTCATTCATCGCATTTGGAAATGAGTATGAACAACATGTCCCTAGGACTGTTAATATGTACCAGTATCTAAATTGCTGTTCCAACAGTGAAAGATTCACATGACCCAGTATTTTACACTGTACAGAAATAATCAACATAAGACGTTTAGAACCTTAATGATCCTTACTCACTCTTTATATTTGAGCCTCCTGCTCAAATATTCTTAACATTCTTTTCCATGTTCCACTAAACATCAGCAGAGCGCAGCGGCCTGATCTAGAGATACCTTTACTACAGATAAGAGCTGGTCGGTCCCCGCTCGGGGCAGAGTCACTCAGAAAGTCCGCTGGCAGTGAGTGAGGCTAGCCTGAAGCATGGAGTCACATGGCTGGGTCTCCTCTAGAATTTACTTAAAGAGCTCTTGCATTTTGCCAAGAAGCAAAGAAGTTCACATACACACAGAGAAGTCGAGACATTTAAAGTCCTATAATTCTGACTGCACAACTTCAGCAACACGTATGATGAAACAAAGATTTAATCACCAGCATTTACTAAATAGCTAAATTATCAACTCTTCACCATTGTTTTTTGCATCGTATTTTTCCTCTTTTCGATGTCCTTTCCTCTCAAGACAGGGTCTTGCTGCTACTCCAGCTTGATCTCCACCTTGTTGGCTATGTGGGCTTCCTTCCCATCTCGGCCTCCCAAACAGCAGGGTACAGGTATGCACCCCCCTACCAAGCTCAATGGCCTTCTGAAACTTGCCAAATACAGACTGAAGTGGGTACTGCTAGAATCTCTGAAAGAATAAAAACTAGTCTGAAAAATAAAACTTCACTAGCCTGCACACATCTCACAGGTTGTCTGCACTCAGCAGTAGTTAAAGAGTAAATTAACAGAGTAAGTTTCCGTTTACTGACAAAGAGCCTTTTGCAGGGCTAACACGCAGTCTCAAGGCACCTGCACCAAATGTTTTCTTCCATCATGCTGTAACTACACTGCCTGTCCACGACAAGCATATCATAAGGAAGAGGTGCTAGGAAAGCACCAAGGACCTCTGTCCTGTGCACAGGCAGGCTGGGACAGTCACACCTGCACAACTTCAGCAACAGGTGTGGAGGAGGAGGAGCAGGTGCGCGGGGTAGCCTGCACCTCGGCTCCTCCAGGTCAGGAGTGCAGGAACGCGTGTGGCTGGGTGGGTGCACCTCTTAGGGCTGCCGAGAGCTGCAGGCATGCTTCTGCTGGGCTGCAGCAGGCGACAGCAGGGGCACTTCTGACACTACAGGAGAGAAGCATGACCTAGCACCAAGCCTTCCCGAACTCGCACCCTGGGCTAAATGACCTCTCCCAAAATCTACACACCTCTCAGTGTTTCCCTCTTTCACAGCTGTATTTCATGTTAAAAAATTTGGTTCCCAGGCCAGGGAGATAGCTCAATAGAATAAGCGCTTGCCCGCCAAGTGTTAAGGATCTGAGTTCAATCCCCAGTTCTGCGAAAACAAAACTGGTTCCCATTTATCACCCCACATTAAACTCTAAGCTCCTAGAGTTCAACAACTTGTCAAACTGCTGTTCTGTTGCTACAAACCCTGGCTAGGTAACATCCTCAACTAGACTGTAGTTCTCAGTCTAAGGTCCACCCCCAGCCCCCCAGGAAACAGAAAGGGCCTGCCTGGGCAAAGAGGAGTGCAGATGCACATGGGACATGAGCATTTTATCAGACCCTGGAAAGGAGCACCAGGCAGAAGACTTCTCTACTCTTGGGTATTTCATACCAGCTAGCTTTGTATTTCTAAATCTGTTTGGCCTGGTTCAGGAGATACTTTTTTCTAAGGGAATAAACCTCATCTGGTTAATTGGCTAAATGAGTAAGTGTCCTTAGAAAATTTTAGCCCTCCAGCGCATCTGCCTTCCGCTTCCCGATGTAGCAACACGGAGGTTAGAAGTGGAACACTCCAACTCTGCCTCAGAGAGACAGTAAGCAGGGATTACCTAAGAACATGTTTTGCTTTCTCCAAAAAAGGTACAAGAACTCAAAGGATTAGTATTCAATATTATTCCTGAAAGCTTTTGTCATTCTAAAAGCCTACAGTGACACCCTATGGAGACGTCGCTCCACAGTCCTAGTATAAATACAGGTTTAAAATATAGTTCATTTGAATTTATGCTGACTTTGGGTTTAAAAAGTTATAAATGGTGCTCACTCCCACAAACTCTGAAAAGATGACTGGAGTATACAGAACAGGCTATTACTAATTAATTAACACTTCAAAGTGTAGGAAAAGCCCACTAGTTTTCTTACACTACCAACTCTGAAGAAAAAAAAAAAAAGACTTCTCCCTGTATTTACTATAGCACTTAAACACAAATTTGACCAGTGACAGGAGATAATGAAGACAGGACTGGGCTAGAATTCAGAACTAAGTTTAAGGTCAAACTCTCTTTATTTTTTATCTGTGAGAAGACCAGGTGTAGCTCTTCACTATACTGGTGTAAATAAAAGGTAACAGACATAATTTTAAAAAATTACATATTAACGTACTTATTAGGTTTCTCTCAAAAGGAGAAAATAAGTGACATTACAGTTAAAAAACATAAATGCACACCTTATTTTTATTTCAGGTACAATGAAAAATAATTTATGGCACAATTTTAAAATCCTTACCAAAAGTTTGCGGTGAAATACTGACTCAAATCCTTTACCTTTTCTAAGTCTTCAATTTCAGAACTGAAGTTCTTGCCCTCATCCATCATTTCTTCCTCTTCAAGAGTTCTCTCATCATCATAATCATGAACTAGCATCTCAGCAGTGGGGTCAAAATCATGATCCTCGGAAGACAGAGACCCAACTGGAAAGAAACGAACCGAATCACTACGTGTTCACAAGGCTGCTTACAAAAGACAGTAAAAATTTTCCTTCTGCCAGTTCTTTTAATGTTTACATGTGGGTTTTATTAAATAAATTTACTACGTACTTTACAGGTTATAAAGTAAGTCCACAAGGTTCTGAGAAGGCATCTAAATCAGCAAAAGAACAAGGCAGAGTAATTCGCACACACTTTTACAAGGGCTCTTGTCCAGGAGCAGCAAAGCTTACAACAGCAGCAAAGTGATTTAAGTGGCGTGGTCTTAAATAAATGCTGTTAAGAGAAAAGCAGTCAAACTTGCTTATTAGTTCAATACCTTCATCTAAAAGTAATAGCAAAATGTCAGAAGGATTACATTTCCATGAATGGAAGACAAGAATTTCCTATTCGCTAAGGCTAATACACAGAGGAAAAGAACGCCAATTTTATTCAAATTCTTACCTGCAAATGAACACAAAACTCAATGAAATTTGACTTCTAAGACAAATACAAGTTTTGGACAACAACTATACAGAAACTGTCTCTCAAGGCCTATCACTTTATGTATCCGTAACAGTATTTCAAACTTCTAGCATCAATCAGACAGGCATAAACTGCAAGTCTACACTGTACTCTGGATTACTAAAAAGTTCTTAGGATTATGTGAAGGGAAAAAGTAGTCACACCCAAAGGTTTAGAAGACAGATCCCACTCAAGTTGATTCTGTCAATTCATGTTTGTGTGTAAAAGTGGAATAGTTTTTAATAGCAAATATGAAGTCAACAAAATACTTTAAAAAAACAAAATTCACAATCCCAAGAGAATGAAATAAAATACATGAAAAACAGGATTTTTAGAGCTGGTGAGACAGCTCAGTGGAATAAGTGCCTGCTTAGTTAAGTGCAGAAACCGTAGTTCAATCCCCAGCACCACAGGACCCTAGCCCCACCCCAGGGTGGGCTGAGCAGGGCATAGTGGCACACTCCTGTGATCCCAGAACTGGGGAGGCTGAAAGCAGGAGGAGCACTATGAGTCAAAGCTGCATAGTGAGACCCCGCAACAACCAAATACACTGAAAAAAGGAAGAAAAAATATAGTATTTTCTTCTCTAGTTTTAGATTAGTATCTAAATCAACTGGACCAACAATTCTCAAGTAAGAGAAGCCTGGAGGCAGGGGACAAAGCAGACAGCAGTCAAGGGTGACAGCAGGGTCTAACTCCAGCTCATCCATTGTTAGCCTGCAGGCTCCAGGCTGCGACAAAGAGGTACACAGTGTTCCTGACTGCCGGGAGAAGCCCTGATACAGGAATTTCTTTCCCCCTCTCAAAAAAATTTGGCCTGTTTTCATTATTTTAAACTTTAAGCACAGTGTGAGAAAATTACCAAAACACTGCACAAGGCCAAAACTTTTTTCACTATGGAAAAACTAGAGATATAATTCGATGTTTCAATTTTACACTCTGAGAGTTCCAGTAATTAGTCCCCAAAACGATACAGTATCTATGAGACTTAACAGAACATCCGCCATTACAAGACTGCTTTCTGCAGAAATCTTGGACACCTACACTGCAGGACAGTGGGATGCAAGAGCAGGGCCTGAGGGCCTTTTCCTGGCTTTGTCCTTAACATCCTGGGACCTAAAGCAAGACATTCAAACTTTCTGGGTCTGGTGCCAGTTCTTCATTTATAAAATACACAGCATTGGCTGAGACGGCCTAATAGTTCATTCCAGCTCTAAAATTCTCTTTATAAATTGGCAAAATGATTAATAGCAGGTTTTACATTTCTGTTCAGACATCAAAACAACACTGCCTTTCAGATTTTCAAATTGCAACTTCTTAAAAGCAGAGTGATGCAAAATGGAAGAATTCCACTATCATCCAGATGTTTGGCATCGTGTACATAAATATTCTTTCCTCAAAATCAATCATAACAAAGAAACATTTGTTCCAAAACTACTGACTTTTTAAGACAAGTTTTAGATGTACATGGCTCTCTTAAGTGATCACAAATTCTATTTGTTCTTTTAGAATCCTTTTTAACGCATTAAATTTTAGAATTACATATTAATAATTTTAATATTTTAATACAGGACAGACCCTGAAAGCTGACTAAATACAAAAGAGCAATATTGCAAAGAAAATGGACAATTCGTCCAAAGGCAACGTGTGGAAAGACCTGGCACACCCATGTTCCGCTACTGAAGTTGGTGACGGCTCAGGACAGGCAATAATTAAGTGTCCCTCACGGTCAAACATAAAGGAAGTGGACCATTTTATGAGGGGGGAAAATGGCGGTCAAAAGTGGGCTGGAAAAGGGAATGTAAGCCTCAAGCCGTCCTGCGGCGCAGCAGCGGGGAGGGTCCCCACAAATTCCACCTCAGGCTCCTTCCAGCGCAGACCTCAGGAGCGGGTCCTTGCTTTCCTCAGATTCTGACAGGGCTTTCTGACTTCACAACGTTTAGGAAACAGCGTAGGAGACAATCTAGGGCTGTCTGAGCTCAAAAATCCTTTCATCACCGCTGGTTTTTTGTTTTTAAGGTAGGTCTAACTCAAATTTCCACTTTAATTCAATCTGTAGAAATTTGTCAACTAGGAAATACGAGACGAGAGAAAACGGGGCGTTATTGGCCAACAACCCAAGGTGCCCCAAAATTCTGACACATCTGTAACAATCTTTCCAGAAAAACAAAATTAAAAACTTAAGTTGCTCAAGTTAGTGAAAAGTTGATAGAGGATTCATCGGTCTGGTCGTGGAGGGCAAAAGAGGCGCAGGAACTAAAGCTACAGTAACTAAAAGGACACTCATCTGTCAGCAGCTTACTTTTTTTTTTTTTATTCCAAGAAAAAAAGAATATAACCGTTCCTTGCTTAAACAACTTGATTAACTAACGTCTCCCGAAACTGTTAAAAACTAACCATGAAATAAACTGCAGGACAAGCTGCTGCGCAGGGGACCTCCAGCAACTCATCTCTGAGCCCCCCTTCCCCTCTGGGGCCCAACGAAGAGGTAAGAAAATACTACAAACCTGGGCTCGAACTTCCAAAGGAAGCCTGGGGGAGAGAAAGGAGAGAGCTGGAGGTTAGATCGCGCAGCCGGGAAGGAGGCAGCTTCAGCAACAGGGCGCAGAGGGGCGGAGTCGAGCGTTCCGCCGCAGCTGCCAAAAAGTGCGAGACTCGCCGCCGGCCCGCTGCCGGCCCCCCTCGGGCCCCTCTCTGGCCGCCTCGCCCTCCTCGCCGCGGCCCCAGCGCACAGGCTCGCAGACCCGGGACAAGGCCCGCGCTGGCGACCCACGCCGAGCCGCTCTCTGGGGCTCGGCAAGTTACAAAGCGAAGCAGCAGAACCCGAAGCAGTCGGCTCGCAGCATCAGCCGCTGCCTCGTCCCGGGGTCCCCGAGTCGCGCAACCCCGCGAGCTCTCCGCGGCGCCCGGCCACTCACGGCGCGGCCCCCTTTCCCGGGAGGGGTTGACCCTCCAGGGCCGAGTCCGCCCACCCGAGCCCCCGAGCCCCACTCCGCGGCTGTCCTCCGCCCCGGCCGCAGACCACCTCGAGCCGGACGCCAGCCCCATCCTCCCCGAGCCCAGGTCGCGGCCCCGGTCCCGGAGGCGCCGGCTCTTACCGGGTCTGGCCTCTCCCCCGGCCCCCGGCTCGCGCTCGGCCCGGCGAGCTCCCGCAGG